TAAATATTCAAATGTAATCCCCTTTGTAATCGTTAACATTTTCATGAGTAACTGTAATTTAATTACACATTTTCTCTTAGTAAATGTAACTGATTACAGTTACATTTATTTTGTAATTAAATTACGTAACGCCGTTACATGTAACTAGTTACTCCACAACACTGTCTACTATATAGTAGGGGAAAAGCAGTAGCCGAGCGAATAAGTATGTCCGAAACCTCAGTATTCATAAAAGAGTAGTCGAGAAGTTCCCGGATGTCCTACTGCTTCTGCCCAGCTTCTTGAGTGCTCGCCGATGGTTACTTTTCTATCCCAGGAGGCCACGCGAGAGGATACATCATAAAGAAGAAGAAGAGGATGCGTCATAATCGAACATGGCGGAAAATTTGGATGAGGGTGTTTACACATGTACGTATTACAAACCAAAAACACGGTTCCTTATTTTAAATTTGCATTTGTTGAACTACTTTAGAGCAAATTGTTGAAAGTGTAAAGATGCTAAATGGTATAGTATATTGTGATGTTGCTGTAAAAACACGTTTTATTATGTATAGCTAACAGGGGGGCTCCAGGAAGCACACGTACATCTCCAAAGTAGATTTACATACATTTTAAACCATATACATCTTAAATACGATTACTAAATGTCTATTTAATATCTGGTAGGAAAATCTTCGATATGAATTTCATAGAAGTATGTCTAATAGGTCCTAGATATGAAGTAGACATCTGAGTGATGTATATGTGTGTTATTGTGTAGTACAATTCGCTGGTGTCAGCACTGTTTGCAATAGATGAGTGTAAGTAATATAAATACATTTCCATAAAGTAACTAAATATAAGTAATCTGTTTTATTTGTCCATTAGTACTGTTGAAAAATTGAGGAACATTTGTGTTGGATAAAAAGCTACTTAACACATCATCAACTACCTCAAAATGTAAATCTCAGAGGAAACTTGACTCTTGTCTGGATGTTACAGGGACAGATGAGACACACGTCTGCTTATCCGGCGGAGACGAGAGCGGCTAATGAAGCAATGCTGCCATCAAAGGCTTTGAGTGAGTATACTACAGAAATGAATAAAACATCTTTTAAATCTTAAGTTGTAGTTTATTTTAATTATTGTAATTTCAAACAGAGTTATTACAGAACTTTTCTGATTCTTGATTCCTGTTCATTTGCTGCAGAGCTTTTGTGGTGGAGCAGGACCTGCAAGGCAGAGTGACAGCAGCATTTGTAAAAAAAATAAAAAAATTTAAAAAAGGGAAAACCTCAAACAAAAATATAAAGTAAGATCATTTTG